GAATAGCAAGTCTTAATGAAAAGAAAGCACAAACTGGGTGAAAAATTCTCACTTCTTTCAGTAGAAAGATATCCATTTGTATCCCCTTCTGCTTGTCACTCCCTTTAACCTTTGGACTTGCTATTCCCAAGTCTTAATGAAAAGAAAGCACAAACTGGGTGAAAAATTCTCACTTCTTTCAGTAGAAAGATATCCATTTGTATCCCCTTCTGCTTGTCACTCCCTTTAACCTTTGGACTTGCTATTCCCAAGTCTTAATGAAAAGAAAGCACAAACTGGGTGAAAAATTCTCACTTCTTTCAGTAGAAAGTTTTGAACGAAGAGTTCTATCTCAAGCCATAGAGTGCAATAGCATCCACTTCCTCAAGCCTCCTGCTGTCCCAGGCACCCTCAAGTGCTCCACTGTGTCAGCCTGTATGCAAGACATGATATATAAAAATACTGTGGGTTCCAGAGTTCCAAAAGTCTCAGAGGGTGTTTGAAACTTTGTGATTCCTTTACCTTCCAGGCCAGTTCCATAGACAGCAGGCTTCAAAGATCTGCAAAGCAAGTTGCCTCACCATCTGGTATACATCACCAGTGCACTCCAGGATGAGAGGAAAAAATCTAGCCTGTATTCAGGTGGCAGCTTGCCTGGAGGAAACCATTCAGCCTTGTGCCTGCTGACCATTGTTCTGTTCTGCTGGCAGCTTTTATGACATTCTCAGTGAGAGGAGCTTGAGAAAGAAGGAAGACAATGGAACTTTAGGCAAACATGATAGGTACAGGATGGATTTTAGGGATAAAAATGTAGTACAATCATCATGACAAAGCCAAGTAAGTCAGGATGATAACTGGATCCATAGCAGACTTAGCTAAAATTCCCTCTCAAATTAATCTAACAGATGGGCTGGATCCAGACAACCAGCCAGGCTTCCGGCACTAACCCTAGGAGCCTGGGTTCAATAGTAAAACATCACGTGTCATAGCTATTCAGCCACAAGAAAAATGGGATTCACAAAAGCAGAGGAAATCTTATTGTCAGGCACTCCTTATTTAAAGTGACAATGGTTACATGGTAGAGCTGTAGGATGGAAATGCTCTGTGCACGCACAGCACTGCAGGGTCAGAAACTGGGAGTCTCTTCTGTGGTCGTTAGCAGACAGAGTTTGTGTATCAAGTGGACCAGCTGCAGTTCTGTCATTAATACACAATTCTTGCATTTTTGCTTTGCATTCACATCCTTGCTAGCAAGATAAAAGCTATCTTGCCAACAGCCATACAGACTTCATTCATTTCATTGTTAGTTCTATTCTGCCCCTGTTCATATATCCTGATTTTGTCTTGCTGTGGAGTTGGGTATATGCAGTGAACCATATGCTTTTACTGTCCATATCCAACTATATTCTTACTAGTTTTTAATTTTGGATTTTTTTTGCTGTTACTATGAAGAGCACAGCTTTAGGCATCCCTCAGTAATGCACAGAGGAATAATATCTGCCAGTCTGCATGTCCTTGTGTCAGAGAAAAGGTGAAAGCAGGTCATAGACAAACAAGCATCCATTAACCCTAAGCTGTTGTTTTGACCAGAAGAAATAGAGTACTGCAGTTTTGGAGCTACAAGGGAAAAAAGTGGTGTGGAAGGCACTTCAGTATCCCTGTTACCCTGTTTTGAAGTCAGGATTTGTGTTCAGATGAAGTAGCTGGGAAGTGCTTCCCGGTCTCTAGATTTAGATGCATCCAGTGTTCAACATGCCCTTTCTAAAATCCCCAAAATCATGGTCTCAGCTCATACCTGACCTCCAGACTGAGGATGAAAGAGCTTTATTTCCAGGAGCCACTCAGGGGGTTATGTAATGGTTTTCGGGCAGTGACAGATTTTCTTCCATTTTTCCCTGAATTTTGTACAAATACATAAACCTAGAATGAACCCCAAAACTGTTCTTCAGCCATTCAACCTTTGACTGGAGCAACATCGTTATTCTGCTGATTTGTTTCCCTTTCCTCTCCTTTGCAGGTCTCCATGAAATCCAGTGTTCCCTGCCTGTAGAAAACAGAAGAATCTTTCTGAATGAATTATCTGAGGTCAGCTTTAGTGAATGCAAATTTAGTTTGTCATTGACGGACCTTTTTATCATCATCTTCTCTGGAGTTGCAGTCTCCATTGCTGCTATTCTGTCAAGCTTCTTCTTAGCAACTCTAGTGCACTGCTTCCAGAGGTGTGCTCCCAGTAAGGATGACGATGACGAAGACGACAGTGAGGACTGAACTTAGTCTCTCTGCTTAAGTTTCTTTGGTTTGTAATTTACTAGATCATCAGCCAAAGTCTAGGAAGAAAACGTTCTCAACATGAATCAAATCACAATGCGTAAGGAGCCATTCTGACCTCATGGTGGGCACAGGCAGGAGTTGCAGTTTGCATCTGAGGCTGTTGGTACATCTGTGACCTGATGCAATGAGACTGGGTTCATTTCTGTGGTCCTTAAACACTGCATTTGAATTGGAAGATTGGAGGGAAAAGGGGGAAAGTTCCAATGTTTTAAAAAATTAAATTACAGCTTCCAGATTGTCCTTCTGATGAGATGCAGAGTCTGTAAGTGCTTAGTAGCTTGTTCTAAATGCACTTTGAAAAAGACTGGCTCAATTGGAGGAATTTCAGCTGGAAAATAAGGAAGCAATTGAGAGTAGCATCCTGCCTAGATCTAAGTAGTGAGAGATTCAATTCATCTCACACAATTTTCTAAGTAACAAAAGGCAATTTAAATTATTCCTAGAATTGTAGAAAGCGTTATAGGAGGGCTGGCATTTTCACTCCACAAATGTTCTCCAGAAACGTTCATTCTCCAGTTAATGGCAGCAGTTGCAGGCATCATTGAGCCAAAATAATTTTTTTTCATATAAGTGAATATGATTCTAGATCTGAGTCATCCACTGCAGCTGCCTGGCACCTCCTTGGTCGTGGCACAAATACTAAATATAACTTTCCTTTGCATTTTTAGCTGCAATGAAGTAAAGGATTTCCCTGCCGTGTAATGCTAGGCACAAGTAACAGTTGCAGCATCCAGTCCATTTCGTTATTTTGAAACACAAAGGGCTATATTCTGCTCCTGATTATACTAGAGTAACACAACTGAAATGAAAACCATGATCCAAATTGACAACTGTATAAACAAGAGTGGAATCTGACCCAAGGTGTTTTTGACTGTATTATAGGTTTGTCAAAACTTGAGCTCTTCTATATAAGGGTAGATATTTTTGTTAAAATTAAAAAAGACATTAATTATAAGAGATTTTTTGAGTAGTTCTGGACAGCTTTTTAGGATAAGTATATTTTTAAAATATTTGTAATGAAAATATTTTTTTAAAGCTCTGTATTTAAAGTATTATCTGGAGTAGCTGTGAGGGCTTAAAGTAAGGAATAACAGTGATAATCTGACTGTATGCTATTATCAAAGAATTAGATCTGATAATAAGTAGCATCTATTTAACTACTGTAAATGCTATTATTTAAAAAAAACCACCAACACTCTGGCTAAAATATTGCCTTGCTCAGTTAATATGAATGGTCTTTTATGGACAGTTAGTTCCAAATCTCTTGTATCTGTTGTGCTAATTGTTCAGGCAGACAACAGTGAGTTACACTGTTTGTTTGGGGGTAACACAGTCCAGTGGATAAGGGTGCAAGACCAGGGTTCAGGACTGCTGCTGTTGTCCCCATCTAACACTGGTCAGCTAGAGGACCTTCAGCAAAGCACTATCTGTCTGTGCCTCAGTTTCACTACATATAAAATGAAGATCATCATAACTATTTATCTTTTACAAGTGCTTTGAGATAAGTAATGGGGGGGCACTATACTTGGGCTATGTGTAATGATTCTAGATGTTCAGCTGAAGCAGATATGTTGCAGTAGGTCTACTGTGATCTCATGTTAGTGTGACTTCACTGGCAGCAGTGGAGTTACTCCATTGACTAGCAAAGTTCACACCATGCTGAGGTCAAAACCAGGACAAGAGTGTTTATTTCTGTTGGCTCTACAGCTTATTCAATGTGACTTAATGCTACCACTGTTAAGATTCTTATTTCTGAAAACACATTGAAACAGGATTAAGTAGGACAGTGAGAGGATATTCTGTATCAATACTGTCTTATTCTATTCTGATTCTTTCAAGACAACTGAAATGACATGATTTTCACTGTGCAGTGCCATGGTTATAAATAACACAAATATATTTATAATTTCAACATGGGCTTTCATGTTTATTTGTATGTGAGTAAGAAACAAAGGAGAAAAACTGATTCTCTCATCATTTGTAAGTGGAGTGTTTCAGTATGGTTTGGCAATCTACAACTTGTTGCCTAGTGCAGTTTATGAAGCAAATTCCCTTTGCAACAAATAGGGATATGTTACCAACAGTTTTATATTTAGAGCTGTGCAAATTGCTCAGTCATGGAACACGAAACTGGGTCATACTTTTTTTGTCTGCAAGTCTTATTAGAGACTCAAACCTTGCAACCACTTTGCAAAATGATTTGTCCTACCAAACTTTTCAGTGAGACACCAGTGAGTGCTTAAGCAGATGTCTGCCCTTTGGTAACAAATCTATGGTTTTATTTCATCATCCTGTGAGGCTGATTGATTTTGTAGAGGTTACGTCTCAAACTCAACTATTTTGACTGGGTTCTGCTCTTACTTGAAGGCTTATCCTACTGTGGTGCCTCAAAATGAAGATCTAGATTTGTTTATAGTTTCTAGCCTTTTATTCAACCCGACATAAAGCCCTGATTTTATTGGGAACTTAGCACCCCTCAGAGCAGCAAGGAACAGACCAAGCTGACACCCACATAATCCAGTGCAAGCTGAAGAGCAAGGCTTAGTAAAGCTTCATTTATGAAGCTGCCATTCTGGATACTCCACAGCAAAGTGATTTTGTAAAGTATGGTTTTTTTCTGGACAAGAAACTTTAATGGCGTTTACCCCATTAAGTAATGTAGATTTCATAACTATTGAACTCCCCCTGTTAGTAATATTTATTTGTTAGTAATATCTATCTATATAGCTGCTGATGGTAAGCAACAGCAGTTACCTGTAATTAATATTGATTTTGCATCATTTTCATTGCTGAGACATAACTTGGATTTAGTTCTTAGTAGGATTTTTCTTATTTGATGTAATCATCAAAGCAAAATATTCCCATTGGAATATTGCCAGGACTAGGGACCACCATAATGATCCCCTTCAAAAATTTAAAAGCAAATTTCACCATGAAGAGAAAGTGGCCTGAAGGCTGCGTTATTATTGCAGTTTCATCCTCACACAGGTAGTAATGGGGAGGAAATCCCATCTCTAGCTTTGTGGACATGGGAAGTCAGGATGTTTCCGTGGGTGGGATCTCAGGAATCTGCACTCCCTTCTCAAACTGCCCCAACCCCCATGAAAATCAGTCAAGTTACAGTGGTGCCAAGTAGAAGGGCTGAATTTAGGTCCCTGTTCAGCTCAAGCAGCACTGCCTATAGGTGATTATAAATGTGCAGTAGCAAGCTTGTCCTCATTTACAGTTATCCTCCTAAAATGGGTTTACTTTAGTGGTGCACTGTCAGAAATGAGCAGACATTTTACCTGCTTCAAGGGGAAGGAAAGATACTATGCATGACCCAAATAAAATGTTGCAGGCTCAGACAGCCAGGAAGCAGCTGTCACATTGCCTGCAGATACATATCCTTGATGAAATGCTGGATCTTGGTATGTGTGAGGATCCAAAAAAACGTGCAAGAAAGCAAATCTGCATAGTGTAGTTGACAGTCTGACTTTTTATGAGCATGTGTATTGGTATAAAAAAAAGTCTAATCCACAGAATGTTGGAATAAAGATCACCTGAAGCAGCTGTCCAAACCTAGCATTTCATCCTCAGTCACTCAGCATCTTTCTGAGGCAGCTGCAGTCCTGCTGTGAGTCTTACTCAGATGTGAATATTAATGGATCACTTTTTAGAGCAGCATAAAAATGCATTGGGAAACTACCCTGAAGAAATGGTCTGGAAGCTCACAAAGAGGAGCTCTCTGCTCACCTACCTCTGTGTGTGTAATCACCTGTGGATAGTGTGTGTTTCTCTGCTCACCTACCTCTGATATATAGTAGAGAATGAACCAAAAATGGTCTTGTCTTGTGGCTATGGGAAGATGTGTGTGTAATCACCTGTGGATAGTGTGTGTGCACACCTGTGCAGTAGGGAGAAGTTGTGTGTATAACAACACTAGAGCTTGCTGTAACTGTCACCCCTGTAGACAGCCTCAGTGAGGCAGCTGAAGCCTGATGGGGATGCTGAGCCTGAGACAGTCCTTCATGCCTAGTGGAAGTTCCTCTGTGCTGGCTTTCAAGCCTACAGGAGCAACTCTATGCAGAACCTGGCACTGATTCAGCATGTGCTGCCTTCCTGCTATGTGAGTAAATTACTTTAGTTTCCAGGGCTGCAAGCTGGCACATTTCTAAGTTCCCCAAAATAAAGGAGCAGGGGTTTTGCTAACTTCCAAATCTGACCATTCCTCTTGGAGAAGAATTTTCTCATTCATGGTGTAACCTGTTTCACTGGCCTCTCCTGGCAACTGAAAAGCTTCAGTGTGAAGGTAAGTCCTTCCTTGTGGTCAAGGTGATACTGAAATGCTGAATCCTTGCATATTCTTTCCAAAAAGAAACCAGAACATACACATAAGGAAACTAAACTTCTTGGAGACTAAGATGTGCCATGGACTCTGAGTGCCAAGCAGCTTGTGAGATGCATAAGCCACCAGAAACATTTTTTTCATGTCCTAGCTGTTAACATGGGAGCAAGACAACCTTGTCATAGAATAATTACCAAAAATAGCTATGGAAGAACTCGGGTATATCACTTAATGATAGCTGATGCTCTGTAATAAAAATACTTGGTTTTCTAATCAGATTTCTACTCTCATCTTGCCATCATCTTCCTCATTTTGTCTTGGTTTCTATTTTGTTATATATTGACTGCATCTAGAAGAGAATCCCAGTTTGGGACAGCAATAACCAACCAGCAGACTAAGAAAAACACTGTTTATGTTGACCAACCATCCGTCTATGATTGTAAAGAGGTAGCAGGAAAAACAAACACTGGAATTTAGGCTGACAGAGCAACAGGAGAGCTTGGTTGCACAACAGAATGCCTGAATTAGGATGTCTCTCCAGCTCCCATCAACTCTGCCACTCCACCCAGAGCTGTGTGAAGCCATGTGAAATTGTGTAACATTGTGTTAG